TTGATTGATTGATTAAAACAATTCCTTTTTTAGAGAGAGAATGAGGAAGGGTGAGAGAGGGTAACATCCATGTGTTTTTCCACTGAAAGTGTGAGAGTTGAGTAGGACACACGCAAGGAGTATGATATATCCCGGGTCTTATCTTGTTTAATTTTCTCCCCACAGAAGGTCATCACCTTGCAAGGGCAGAAGTATCTTCAGGAGAATTCCTATGTCCAGATGGCCGACGAGGAAGTCGGTGAAACAGACTATGTGTTGGACTTGTCCATGAAGTCCCGATTCCCCATCAGTCAGACAGGGGTACATCCTGAGAACAGCCAGGAGTTCAACAGAGAGCCGGGGAACCAGCCAGAAACCAGTGACATGGTGTGGGGACAGGTGAGTGTGTGATGCCCTGATCTGGTGGACAGGTGGGAGCCGGTACAAGGGGACTCGGTGACGGGAGCTGCTACAGCATTTGGGACATTTGACACAGGATAGAAAGGGACCCATGAATGCATCGATGCATTACGCCCATGGGCATTTCTGAACCAATGTGGTCCACAGGCCAATAAAAATCTGATTTTCTTCTAGGCATAATCAGTCGTGAGGAGTGGGGAGAGCGGGGTCCAGAATCGCTTTGCCTCCACCGTTGGAGGCAGCGAGCAGTTGAGATACCGGGAGAGGCAGCTTAGAGAATGAAGACTGAGCTCTGTGGCCTTGGCCTGTGTTGATTAGCAGTTGGAGCATCAGACCCAGGACTGCAGGGCTGTGGGTTTCATTCCCAGTCAAGGGCACATTCTTGAGGTGCAGGTTCCATTCCCTGCCCAGTTGGGGTGATTGCAGGAGTCAACTAGTCAATGTGTCTCTCACATTGATGTCTCTCTCTGTCTCTCTGTATCTCCCTTCCTGGCTCTCTAAAAATCGATGGAAAAAAATATCCTGGGTGAGGATTAACAAGAAAAAGAGGAAGGAGTGTAATGTATGGGCTTGACTTAAGGTGTGATGGGTCCACATAAGGACAGACTTGGGAGTATAGGTGATGGGCTTGGCCCCAAGGAAGTCTAGGCAGAGCCACAAAACTGTGCTGTTAGGTAAGCTGGGGTCTCAGGTCAGGGAGATGGACAGGACGGGGGAAGGAGGGACGGAGCTTCCCACCCCTGGCTTCAGACACGTTTAACACCCCTTGGTTACCCACTGTCAGGGGCAGAAAGTCCTCCCGCCGGCCCACACCCGGGAGAAGCCGTACCAGTGCGACGTCTGCCACAAAAGGTTCGGCCACCGCGGGAACCTCAACGTGCACATGCGCACCCACTCGGGCCTGAGACCCTACCTGTGTCCCCATTGCCACCTGGCCTTCCGCTACCTGGGGACCTTTAAGCGCCACCAAAGGACACATGTCAAGGAGGCGCCCCAGGTCCCTTCTGACTCAGAAGGAAAGTAACGGGTCTCCTGTGGTGCAACCATGGTCTATGAGCACTTAGTCAGACGGGGGTCTATGAATTAGAATTGGGGTCCTTGAGTAATTACTCATGTTTCCTATTGGCCCCATACTCTGTGTCAGTCTTGCTGTTTCAATAAATATTTGATGGTTCAACCCTTATTCCTTGTTTGTCCTCTGTTGTCCTTTATTTTATGTAAAATAGGGAGGTCCCAGGAGAGTGGCCAGATGCCCTACAGAATACCCAGTGCCATGTGGATGTCAGATACATCACAATTTTTATTTTCTAAAAAATACATATATTTGTATTGATTTCAGGGCAGAAGGCAGAGGGAAGTGAGAGATGGACACATCAATGATGAGAGAATCATGGATCAGCTGCCTCCTGCACGCCCCCTACTGGGGATGGAGCCCGCAACCCGCACATGTGCCCTTGAATGAAATTGAATCTGGGACCCTTCAGTCCATAGGCCAAAGCTCTATCCACTGAGCCAAACCAGCCAAACTACTGTTTAGATGTGTTCTGAATTATTCCTTTATCTGACATTGACATTTTCACTGAGCACTGTGGAGAGAGAAAGAGAGAGAGAGAGAGAGAGAGAGAGAGAGAGAGAGAGAGAGAGAGAGAGAGATTGGTTGCTCCCTGTAGGCACCGGGACCGAGGATTGGTCCAGGCTTGTACCAGGACTGAGAATGGAACCGGCAGCCTTTTGCTGCACAAGATGATTTTCCCGGAGTTGGTGGCCACACCCAGAGATAAGGGTTTGCCAGGTGTGGGGTGTGGCTGCCCAGGGGGTTCTCCTGTTTGGCGGATTCTGCTGGTCAGAGCTCTCTGGTTGCCCAGTGTGGTAACCGTGCTGGCTGCTCAGGGGTGTCCCGGCTTCCCTGGCTCCTCCCCTGCCCTTCGAGGTAGGGAATGGGGCTCGTTGTACCAGGGACAGACATGAGGCTCAGACAAGTCAAGTCACTTTCCCAAGCTTGCACAGCTCTCAGATAGCCAGATGGAAACCCAGGCATCTGGACTCGGGGCCTGTTTGCTTAACCATCAGGCTTCCCAGTGGCTGTCAGAGTGGGGACCGGGGTTGGCTCCCAGGTCAGGTGTGTGGGAGGGAGCGGCTGGTTCCTGCTTCTCCCCCCTGAACTGACTCACTCACCTGCATCTCATCTTCGTCTCCTACTGGGCAGCTAAGATATAGCTTTTATAGCTTTTAAAGTGAAAATCCAGTGACTTAAACTCCCAGCAGGACAACAGCAAAATCACACTCGCAGAGGCCCCTGTCTCAGGTCCTTCCTCGCCCCTCCTGGGTCCAGCCACTCGGGCCCGCTCCTTCCTGTGGCCTTGGGTCCCTCTCCAGGCATCGCCATCCGGAGTCACCCAGGCCCCCAACTGGGCCCCTCCTCACAGCCCTTCCCTCACTCCTCAAACTCCACTGCCCACCCCCAAATGCCCTCTTCATCCCATCTCCCTCCTTTTTTTTTTTCCCCCCTCCTTCTTTTTAATACATTTTTATTGATTTCAGAGAGGAAAGAAGAGAAACATCAATGATGTTAGAGAATCATGGACCGGCTGCCTCCTGCACGCCCCTCAGTGGGGATCGAGCCCAGACCCCAGGCAGGTGCCCTGACGGGGAATTGAACCGTGAGCTCCTGGTTCCTGGTTTGACGCTCAGCCACGGAGCCACACCAGCTGGGCTCACCCTCCCCGACCCACCTATTGTAGATGGAGCGCTACATGGACATGCTCCCATATCTGGGAGCTACATGACCATTCCAAAACCAGATCATGGTCATGTAGCTCCCAGATATGGGAGCATGGAAGGTGGATTTTTTTTTTTTTTTTTCTTTTTGAGTCCTCACCCCAGGCTATTTTCCCATTAATTTTTAGGGAGAGTGGAAGAGAGATGGCCACACCGATGGGTTGTCTCCTACATGAGCCCTGACCAGGGCCCGGGCCGGGGAGGAGCCTGCAACCGAGGTACGTGCCCTTGACTGGAATTAAACCGGGGAACCTCTGGTCCGCAGGCCGACGCGCTACCCACTGAGCAACCGGCCGGGGCCGCTCCTTTAAAATCCGATTCATGGTTGTAACCGGTTTGGCTCAGTGGATAGAGCGTAGGTCTGCAGACTGAAGGGTCCCAGGTTCGATTCCGGTCAAGGGCACGTCTCTTGGTTGCGGGCACATCCCCAGTGGAAGGTGTGCAGGAGGCAGCTGATCCATGTTTCTCTCTCATCCATGTTTCTAACTCTCTCTTTCCCTTCCTCTCTGTAAAAAAATCAATAAAATATATTTTTTAAAAAAATCCAACTCATGGCCATGCGCAGCCTGGTTTCCGCATCTGCTGGTGCCCGTCTTCCTCCTCTTGCCCTGGGGCGTCAGCCTCGAGTGCGGCGGGACAGGGGCTTCCTGTCGGCTCGCGGCTCTTCCCGGGCCGCCTGGCCCGACCACCAGGGGCCCCTGGGTCGGTGAAGAACAAGGTCCGGCCCAGCTCTCCGCGGGGCGGCCGTCCCTGCGCGGTGGTGACCCGTGACTGGCGGCTGCTGGAGGCGGCCCTGCCGCGCCCGCTCCCGGAGCCCTGCGCGCCCCGGACCAGCCCGGCCCGGTCTGCAGGCGGTGGAGGCCGGGTCGCAGACCAGGTGGGTCCTGCTTGGCGGGAGCTCACTGCCCTCTCCTCCTCCCTCACGCCGTGGGGTCACCCCTGAGAGCATCGCAAGCCCTGAGTTCCGAGCCATCGGAAGCGGGTGGGCCAGCGCAGCTGGACCTGGAGGGTGAGGGGGGTCGAGGAGGACACGGCTTCGGGGTGTGTTTGGAAGTGGGGACTGAGATGGATTCAGGGACCAGGTGAGGGCGGCACAGGCTGCTCCCATCACTCACCCGAGGGCCGGATACGAGAGGGGGTGCAGAGGCGGAGGAACTACAGAGCCCCTGGCCAGACCCCAAGGAGGTGGGACAGAAGGACCACCCCCGGGGCCACTACACGCCCTCTACCCCCCCTCCCCCCCCCCCCCCCCCCCCCCCGGCCAGGCCCGCACAGACCTCTGGGAGCAACAGCCTAGCTCCCGGCCACAGCCCTTTCCCTGCCTCAGAGAGGGACGTGGGGTGCCCTGCTCCTGGGGGCCCCAGCGGGTGTGGGTACCGCCCACGGGTGGAAATGGGGGAGCCTTCACCTCCATCACCTCTCACCGGGTCCCCTCTCTAGACTCAAGGGCAGGAACGGCTGTCCCAGGAGCTGGTGGGTTCCCGAGAGCCCCTCCCCGAGCCCCCCCCCCCCCAATCCCCGCGAGGGTGGCGCCCCCACAGAACCCAGGACCGGGCTGGCACCTCATCAGTGACTTTATTTCTGGGCAGATGCTGGTGAATTGTTTCCACGCGCTTCTCAGAGCCGGCATCTCGGTCCCCCTCCTGCCTTCCCGGGTCGCAGACCACGGAGCCTGCTGCCGGGCCCCTCCCCTGCCTTCAGCCGCCCCTCTGCCCAAGGGGCCCACCCGCGCTCCTCTCCTGGGCCCCTGGCCCGCCTCGTTGCCCCCCCACCCCCATAGGGTGTGTGCCGGAGGGAGGGGGGGCAGGGGACTATGCGGAGGCCCCTTCCACGGGGGGTTTTGGGGGGCGGGTGGGGGTCAGGAGGGGTGGGCGGAGGGGAGATCTGGGTGCCTGGACTTCTCACTGCCCTTTGGGAACTGGGACAAAATTCAGAAGAAAAACACACGCTACTTTGAACTCAGGAAAAAGGTCAAGTCCACTCGGAACAGAGGCTCCCCCAGCCCCAACCTTGGGCAGCTCCGCCCGCGCACCCCCGCCCCGGCCCCACCTCCAGGGAAAGCGGGGTTTGGGGCAGAAACAGCTGGGAAGGACCCCAGGACGTTGGGGTACAGGGCGGCGTAGACCAGGGAGGAGCCAGGCGGGGCGGGAGGAGGCGGCGGGCGGCACCAGGGCGGGCGGCTACCCCAGCGGCCACGGCGGGAAGGGCCCCCCGCCCTCGGGGCCCGGCGCCCCGGCTGCGCCCGCCGCCGCCGCGCGGCCGTGGATGCGCTGGTGGCGCAGCAGGTGCTCGCGGCGCCCGAAGCCCTTGCCGCACTGCCAGCAGGCGAAGGGGCGCGCGCCCGAGTGCGTCTTGCGGTGGCGCACCAGGTGCTCGCGCCAGTAGAAGGTCTTGCCGCACTCGCAGCAGGCGTGCGGCCGCTCGCGGGCCGGCAGGGGGCGCAGCGCGGGCCCGGGACACGCGGGGCCGCCGGGGTGCGTGCCGCGGTGGCGCCGCAGGTGCTCCTTGCGCCGGAAGGCCTTGCCGCACTCGGGGCAGGCGTGCGGCTTCTCGGCCGAGTGGCTCTGCCGGTGGCGCAGCAGGTGCGCCGGCTTCAGGGCCGTCTTGCCGCACTCGGGGCAGGACACGGTGCCCGCGGCGGCGGCCAGGAGGGCGGGCAGGTCGGGCGCGGGCAGGGCCGGCGGGGCCAGCGGGGGGCTGCCCGGCTCCTGCTTGTAGGGGCGCGTGGCCTGGGCGTCCCCGACGGCCGGCTCCTCAGCCCCGGGGACCGCGTCTCCTGCGGGGCAAAGGCGCAGTCAGGCAGCGGGCAGGGCCGGGCAGGGAGGGCCGGGGTGATGGCCGTGTCGGGGCAGGAAGGGCAGCGCTGGGGAAGGGGGCTCTCTCATTCATTCATCCCGGTGGCTCCCACTGCAGTGCCTGCTGCAGAGTCAGTGCCTGCTACACAGACGTGCAAATGGGTATGTGTGTGTGGGGGGGGGGGGGGGGCTAGAGAGGGACAGGGAGTGGTACAGGTCACAGAAGAGACGTGGAAGGGCAAAGCCATGGATGGACAGCAGGTCAGCGGGTAGGTGGAAGAATGGAGGAGAAAATTGGTGGATGAATAAATGCGAGGGGAGGGAGGGAGGGATGTTAGATGAATGGATCAGTGAATGGAGATGACTGGTGGGTGGATGGATGGATTATGGATGGATTATGGATGGTAGGTAGATAGTACAGATGGGTGGCTGGATAGGTGGTTAGATGGACAGATGATGGAAGGGTAGGTGTGGATGGATGAATAGACTGATGGTAGGTAGATGGAGGGTAGACAGATGGGTGGTTGGATAGGTGGGTGGGTGGATGAACGGATGATGGATGGGTAGGTAGGTGGATGGAGGGATGATGGATGGATAGGTGGGTGGATGGATTATGGATGGTAGGTAGATGGAGGGTAGACAGATGGGTAGGTGGGTGGATGGATGGATGATGGATGGGTAGGTGGGTGGATGGGTAGAAGATGGAAGGGTAGGTGGATGGATAAATGGACTGATGGGAGGTAGATGGGAGGGTAGACAGATGGGTGGCTGGATAGGTGGGTGGATGGATGGATGATGGGTGGGTAGGTCCCTGCCCTGTGACCCTCCCCGGGTCCTCCCTGCTCTGACCTCCATCTGCTGCCTCCACATTCGACCGTGAGATGACCCTCAAGCTGCTCTGTTAGGACCACAGCCCTCTCCCAGGACCGGATTAGCGTTCTGCTGTGCTGGCTGTCCCAGCTCTCTGCTCCATCACCCCTTCTCCCACTGCTTCACCTGACTTCCCTTCCTCACCATCACGCGTGTGGCCTGGACGGGGCCGGCTCCAGTCCCAGCTACGTGTGCCAGGCCTGGGCTCAGGATGGGGTGCTGTCCCGCTGGCCACAGAGCCCAGGTCGGGAAGAACATGACCAAGCCGGAACCAATGAGACATGACGTGGGGACTCCGTGCAACCAGCTGAGGGTGTGGGCGCCAAGGCCTGGGTCAGACTGCCTGGTGCCAGGCTGCCTTTGCCGGCACCCAATCTCGGTGAGTTACCCATGTCTGCACGTGTCGGCAGCTACAGAATGTGGGCACTGCCATGCATCTCTGGGGCTGTGGTGGGATTTCAGCTCTCGGGCCAGAACTAACCCTGGGCATGTTACCAGCGGGCGCTCTTGTCCAGCTTACCCCCCTCCACTTTGCCCTCCAGGGCGGGGCCCAGCACAGGGTCTGGGGCCTCTCGCAAGGAGGCCAGGGATGCCCACTGAGAAATGAGTGAGGAGCAGGAGGGGGACCCCGCGCTGGGCTGGGGAGAAAGCTGTGGTGCGGGAAGGGTCGGCTGCTCACCTAGAGCCATCATGCCACCGTCTTCCTTTTGGAGGCCGACCCCGGAGCCTTCCATCACGTCCCGAGGGGCCCGCATCGCTGGTCCCTGAAACGAGACACCACGTTCTGAGTTGAGACGCCTAAGTGATGGCCTTGATTTTTCACCCCCTCTGTCCCCGCTTCACCTTCCACCACTCACTGAGTCCCGTCACCACCTCTGATCCAAGCTGGCTGCTGTGCCGGGTGGTGCTCGCTCAGTCACCCCACATGAGGCCCATGAGGGCGCCCCCTCACACCCTCCAGTCCCAGCCTTCAGGGGACAACAGCCTCAGCCGACATCTTAGCTGCAGCCTCCTGAGACGTGGCGCCACACCCATTGCAAGATCCCAACCCACAGAGATTGCGTGAGATGCTACATGTTTATTTTTAAACCACTATGGTTTGGGGCAACCTGTTACACAGCAACAGCTGACCGATACACCTGCTTTGAATAGTGCACTAGCTGCTGCTGTTGCTTTTTTGTTTCATTTTTTAATGGAAGGGAGAGGGAGAGACAGAAACATCAGCGATGAGAGAGAACGACTGATCAGGCTGCCTCCTGCACGCCCTCCACTAGGGACAGAGCCTGCAACCGGGGCATGTGCCCTGACCAGGAATCGAACCGTGACCTCCTGGCTCAACCACTGAGCCCCACCGGCCAGGCTGCCTTAGCTTCTTCTTATTGCCCTTCGCAAACTCTGTGACAAAATGGGGTGTCTGCCTTCCACAGTTTAACCTGAGCCCCCACCCCGGCTTCTGCTCACACAGCTCCAGTCCGCTCTGCCCTTTCTCTGCCAGAGCCCAAGGTGGGTGGCCGCACACAAAACTATGTTTGTTGGCCCTCTAAGAGGGTGCCTGCATTCCCAACCCTCTCCCTGGTGGGCAGCAACCCTGCTGCTTTTCACAGCCAGATGGTACACGGACACCATTCTCCCTTCTGGTGCTCTGGGTTGGGGAGCCCAGCCTGGGGTTTTGACCCCAGAGTTCTCAGTGGTAACCCCCCTCCCATGGCGAGATATCCCCCCAGAACGTCATCTGCTGTCTTTGGGAGCCCGGTCAGCCCTTGTGCGCCTGTGCACCTCCTACCAGCCTCTAGGCCAGTGGTTCTCAACCTTCCTCACGCCGCGACCCTTCCATACAGTTCCTCATGTTGTGCTGACCCCCAACCATAATATCATTTTCGTTGCTACTTCATCACTGTAATTTTGCTACTGTTATAAATCGTCATGTAAATATCTGCTATGCAGGATGTATTTTCATTGTTACAAATTGAACATAATTAAAGCACAGTGATTAATCACAAAAAAACAATATGTAATTATGTATGTGTTTTCCGATGATCTTAGGCGACCTCTGTCAAAGGGTCATTCGACCCCCAAAGGGGTCGCGACCCACAGGTTGAGAAACGCTGCTCTAGGCGGTCTCCACTTCCCGTCCTCGTTATCAGGGTTCTGTCCGGCTCGTCTTCGGTTGCTTATCGGGGTGGTTTGTCTATATTTTGGCTATAATTCGTTTGGTCCTGGGAGCATGTCCATGTAGCTTCCACGTACTCTGCCACCATTTTGGAATTCCTCAGAGCGCGCATCCTGACAGGTTTATTGTGGCCGAACAGGCGTAAAATAAATGTGTACATTCGCGGCATATAATCCAGTGAGTTTCAACGTAGGTGTCGGCTCAAGGAACCAACAGTGCAGTCGAGGTGGGGAGCGCACCCCGGCCCCCGAAGTCCCTGTGCGCAGGCACCATCTCCCCGTCTCCAATCTGCAGCCACTGATGCGGTTTCCACCACTTCAGAGCGGGTTTCATTTCCCGGAACTTTAGATTGCACCCTTTCGGGGTCTGGCTTCTCTCCTTCAGTAGAATTCTTTGGCCGTGAGGATACGGGCCTACGGACTCCTTTTCTTGTACCGTCTTCGGTTTTGGTATTGGGGTCATGCTGGCCCCGCAGAATGAGTGGGAAACGGCCCCTCCTCTCTCTCCAGGTGCTGGAAGAGTCTGTGTGGAGTTGCTGTCCTTTCTCCCCGACGTCCCCGAGGCATGCCTGGATGGAGGGGTTGAGGCGAGGGGGGCAGGAACTGGCCTGTCTGGTACCCCCAGTGCCGATCCTTTATACATAACAGTTTCATTGAGCTACGATTCACATGCCACAGAATTCACCCACTTAAAACCACGATTCCAACCGTCACTGCAATCCATTTTAGGATATCTTCATCACCCCCCAAAATAAATATCGAACCCATCCAGCTACTTCCTGTCTTCATGGACTTGCTGATTCAGGGCGTTTCACCTAAACGCGATCCTGCAGGACCCTGCTGACTGGTGTCACTTTTTCACACGATGTTTTCACTGTCCATCTGTATCGCAGCACGTCAGTCCATTCCTTTTCATGAACAAGTAATATTCCGCTGTGGCCCTGACCGGTTTGGCTCAGTGGACAGAGCATCGGCCTGCGGACTGAAAGGTCCCAGGTTCGATTCCGGTCAAGGGCATGTACCTTGGTTGGCTGCACATCCCCAGTGGGGGGTGTGCAGGAGGCAGCTGATGGATGTTTCTCTCTCATCGATGTTTCTGGCTCTCTGTCCCTCTCCCTTCCTCTCTGTAAAAAATCAATAAAATATACATTTTAAAAAATAATACTCCACTGTGTAGCCGTTCCTCATTTGGTTGATCCGCTCCCCAGCCGAGTGCACGTGGGCTGTCCTCACTGTTCGGCTACTCCGACTGCCGCTGGCCTGCCATCACTCATCCAGATGTGCACAGGTTTGGAGCAGATGTTTTCATTTCTACTGGTGTTCCCCCAGGAGTGCGGCCTCCCACGGCACAGTGAATCCCCACTTAGGTTCCGTGACTTTAAGCAAAACGTGTAAGAAAACCAATTTTACCAGAGACCAACGGATACACACAAGAGTTCAGTCCTGTAGCATCTCATCCGTGTCGAACGAAACGGCGTGAGTCCCGGACCCGCTGCAGTCCCACGTCTCACCTTTTGGGGGACCCGCCAGACTGCTTCCCACCGCAGCTGCCCCATTTTACATTCCCGCCACCACTGAAGCGGGTCCGGCTCCTGGTACCTCCTATACCAGACGCCGAGTGGACGGATGGACGGATGAAGGTCCAACCGTCTGCCTCGCCCTGAGGAGAATCTGGCACAGGAGCGTGCAGGTGCCCGGCAGGGGTTTTCCATGAGGCCGACCCGCTTGTGGGACCCCCAGTGAGTTACCTCCCCCACCCCGGCAGTTCTGAGGGGGCTGGCGGCACATGGTCTCACCCCAAGTCCCCACTCAGACAGGTGTGTGGAGACCTCCCCAGCTCCCCGGTCAGCACGTCTGAGAGCGGAGGCCCGTGAGCTCCCCGGCAATTCTTGGGCACACTCCAGCCTCAGCACCTCCACTTCTGGGAGGACCCCACAGGCGTCCCGGGCTCTCTGGTGTGGGGTGACAGCCACAGACGCTGGACTGCGCAGAGGCTGAGCACCGCCCACAAAGACAATGGACAGAGCGGCCACAGGTGCTCAGGGACTGGAAGCGGGAATCTAGAGCCACGGCACGTGGGTTCTACTCCACCCCCGTCCCCTAACTGGCTGTGTGACTTTGGGCAAGTTGCTTGACCTCTCTGAGCCTCGTAGCTTCCTCTGTGAAAGAGAGAGGACAATCATACCCAGGCCCGACCCCACAGGTTGGCGTGGGGTCAGATAGGCTGTGCTAACAGTGGGATTCATGGGGGGCTGTTAGCCAAGCCCTATCAGCTCAACCTCCAGAAGGAGTGGGGATTGAGGTCAGGCGCAGGCGGTCCGCCGTGTCGACGTGCCCAACCCCCAACAAAAGCCCTGGACTCCAAGCTCGGGGAGCTTCCCTGATGGGCAACACTTGGTGGTGTCCGCCGGAGAGGGCACGGGAAGCTGTGTGCATGGGGCTCCCCTGGACCCTGCCCGGCACCGCCTCCCTGAGCTAACCCTTCCACGTGGTCAACCATGACCCTGAGCAGTGATGGCGAACCTATGACACGCGTGTCAGAGGTGACACGCGAGCTCATTTTTTTGGTTGATTTTTCTTTGTGAAATGGCATTTAAGTATATAAAATAAATCTCAAAAATATAAGTCTTTATTTTACTATGGTTGCAAATATAAAAAATTTCTATATGTGACACGGCACCAGAGGTAAGTGAGGGTTTTTCAAAATGCTGACACGCCGAGCTCACAAGGTTCACCATCGCTGACCGTGAGCATGGCGGCTTTACGACCTGAGTCCTCCTGCGGGAGGGCTGTCAGAGTAAGGGTGACCCCCGGATCCCCACTGAGTGTCCCAGCGGGCTGCCCCCTTCAACCATACCCCTGGGCCCTAGCCGGTTTGGCTCAGTGGACAGAGCATCGGCCTGGGGACCAAAGGGTCCCGGGTTCGATTCCAGCCAAGGACATGCACCTCGGTTGCAGACTCCTCCCCGGCCCACGCCCTGGTCAGGGCGCGTACAGGAGGCAACCAATCGATGTCTTCCTCTCACATCGGTATTTCTCCCTGTCTTTTCCTCTCTCTTCCACTCTCTCTAAAAATCAATGGGAAAATATCCTCAAGTGAGGAATAAAAAAAGTTAATAAACAAAGAAAGAAAGAAAGAAATGGTACCACCGGCCTGAGGCTCCCACCGACAGCGCCCCCACTCTCCGTCACACCCTTGGTCCCCAGGCTGGGGAAACTGGTTTGCTCACTTATATACGGAATGTCACTCCCACAGGCCGCCTGGAGAGCCGGGGGGAAGGCTGTGGGGCGGGCCTGTCCACGCACAGGGAGGTGGCAGCGGAGGGAGGCGGGCGGGGCAGGGTCCCCCCCCCACCCCCCCACCCCCCCACCCCTCCCCCAGCCGCGCTCACCCAGAGCTCCTCCAGCAGCGCCAGCGCCTCCTCGCCGCTCTGGGGCCGCCGGCTGCACACCCATGCCTGGATGTCAGCGGGGAAGGCGCTCAGGAACTGCTCCAGCACCAGCAGCTCCAGCATCTGCTCCTTGGTGCGCACCTCGGGCTGCAGCCAGTCCCGGCACAGGGCGCGCAGCAGGCCCAGCGCCTCCCGGGGGCCCGGGGCGTCGCCCAGGTGGAAGTGGCGGAAGCGGTGCCACGGAGAGTCCAGGACCAGGCCCTCGATGGCCTGGCCCTCCTGCTTCACGGGCTGGGGGGACGGGATCTCCATGGGGGCGTGCGAGCCCTGGGAGGGGGGGACAACAGCACCTGTGGGGAGGGACATCCAGCACGGTGAGCACACAGCCCAGCTTTTCCAGGACCCTCTGCCACCTCCCGCTGTGAGGGGGCGAGAGCAGGGGTGCAGGTGCACACCCCAGCGTCCCCGCTTAAAAGCAGAGTGACTGCTCTAACTGGTTTGGCTCAGTGGATAGAGCGTCGGCCTGCGGACTGAAAAGTCCCAGGTTCGAGTCCGGTCAAGGGCATGTACCTTGGTTGCGGGCACATCCCCAGTAGTAGGTGTGCAGGAGGCAGCTCATCGATGTTTCTCTCTCATCGATGTTTCTAACTATCTCTCTCTCTCCCTTCCTCTCTGTAAAAAATCATTAAAATATATTTAAAAATATATATATCCCCTGGTGAGGATTAAAACAAAACAAAACATACTGTTAGCCCTATCCGGTTTGGCTCAGTGGATAGAGCCTCAGCCTGCGGAATGAAGGGTCCCAGGTTCGATTCTGGCCAAGGGCACATGCCCAGGTTGCACTTCTGATCCCCAGTAGGGGGCGTGGTGCAGGAGGCAGCCAATCAATGATTCTCTGTCATCATTGATGTTTCTATCTCCCTCTCCCTTCCTCTCTGAAATCAATAAAGAAATATATATAGTTTTAAAAACCATACTGTTCTTAATGTCACCCCAATAAATTCAATAAACCCTAGCCCAAGCCCTAACCCTAGCCCCTCACCCTAAAAATAAATTCAATAAAAACTTAAATAAATGTTGAACCTCCTTCCACTAGGTGCCAGTAGTACCGCCCCAGTTCTGACAACCAAACCTGTCTACACACATTGCCACACGTCCCCTGGGGACAAATATTTACTCAGAGCACAAGGGCTCCCAGCAAGTCTCTGCCCCGCCCCTGACCAGCGAGCTGTCCTTGGACAAGGGGCACCGCACCTTCGACAGCCCTCGCCTCCGTTCCTGGGTCTAAAATCACACACACTCAAGAGAGGCAGTAAAAATCCAAGCTTCTGTCCCGATCCTCCACGGTTGTGGGTTCGACTCCCGGTCAGGGCACATACAAGACTCCACCAATGGCCCTGGCCGGTTGGGCTCAGTGGACAGAGCGTCGGCCTATGGACCAAAGGGTCCCGGGTTCGATTCCGGTCAAGGGCACGTACCTTGGTTGAAGGCTCTTCCCCGGCCAGGGGCGTGCAGGAGGCAGCCAATGGATGTGTTTCTCTCACATTGGTGTGTCTCTCTGTCTCTCCCTCTCTCTTCTACTTCCCTAAGAATCGATGGAAAAATATCCTCAGGTGAGGAACAACAACAAAATCAGCCAGTGAACGCATGAATAAATGGAACAACAAATCAGTATTTCTCTCTTTCCCTTCCTCTCTCTAAAAATCAATCAATAAAAACTTTAGCCCCAGCCAGTTTGGCTCAGTGGATAGAGCATCCACCTGCGGACTGAAAGGTCCCGGGTTCGATTCCGGTCAAGGGCACATGCTCAGGTTTCGAGTTAGATCCCCAGTGGGGGGCGAGCAGGAGGCAGCCAATCAGTGATTCTCTCATCACTGATGTTTCTATCTCTCTCTCCCTCTCCCTTCCTCTCTGATTACCAGTAGGGAGTGTGCAGGAGGCAGCCGATCCATGTTTCTCTCTCATCGATGTTTCTAACTCTCTATCCCTCTCCCTTCCTCTGTAAAAAATCAATAAAATATATTAAATGTATATATATATATAAAATGAAATTTTTAAAGTATTTATTTAAAAAAATAATAAAAATTTAGAATTAAATGCATGCACTTGTTTTGTTAATAGCGGCATCCCCCCGTCCTTACACCCCCCCCCCTCCCCACAACTCACAAAGTCTCAGTAACATAAGTGACTAACTGGTTGGGGGCTTGCTTCACCCAGGTGCTGTGCTCAGCGCCTTCGTTTCCTTACAGCTTGAATTATCTTTTAAATCGTATTTACTAATTTGAAAGAGGAGAAAGGGAGAGAGAGAAACATCGATTTGTTGTGCCGCTTATGGATGCATTCGTTGGTTGATTCTTTTTTATATATATATATTTTTATTGATTTCAGAGAGGAAGGGGGAGAGAGATAGAAACATCGATGATGAGGGAGAATCATGGATCGGCTGCCTCCTGCACACCCCCACACTGCGGTCGAGCCTGCACCGGGACATGTGCCCTTGGTGGGAATCGAACCTGAGACCCTTCAGTCCACAGGCTGACGCTCTATCCACTGAGCAACACCAGCCAGGGCCATTGGTTGATTCTTGCATGTGCCCTGACCAGGGATGGAACCCACAACCTTGGTGTAATCAAGGCCACCAGCCCAGGGCCTCACAAGCACCTACTAGAACATGCATTTAAAATCTCGCTACACCCTGACCGGTGTGGCTCAGAGGATAGGCCTGCGGACTGAAGGGCCCCGGGTTCGATTCCGGTCAAGGGCATGGACCTTGGTTGCGGGCACATCCCCAGTAGGGGGTGTGCAGGAGGCAGCTGATCGATGTTTCTCTCTCATCCATGTTTCTCTATTCCTCTCCTCCCTTCCTCTCTGTAAAAAAAAAAAAAATCAATAAAATATATATTTTTTTAAAATAAATAAATAAAAATAAAAACCTAGCTACAAATTGGAATAGGCATTAAAATAAGCAGCAGCCGGGCCGGCGTGGCTCAGCGGGTGAGCTCTGACCTCGGAACCAGGAGGTCGGGGCTCCATCCCCAGTGGGGGGCGTGCAGGAGGCAGCCGATGCATGGTCCTCTCTCATCACCGATGTTCCTATTTCTCTCCCTCCCTCTCCCTTCCTCTCTGAAATCTATAAAAGTAAATATATATTTAAAAGTCAGGAAATAAAGGACAGTGGCTGGAGGCTGCCGGGGTGGCCTCGGGTGACAAGAGCAACCAGCTAAGGGGGGCTGGGGGGCGGGACACACTCCTCCGAGAGAGAGACCCAGAAACCCCCCGGAACCTGCTCAACTGCTCACAGTGCGCGGAAAGGGCGCCCGGAAGGACCCACCTGCACCCGGTCCAGGTGGGGACCATGCCTGCCCCTAAGCCCCGCCCCCAAGCCTTTCCCACGGGTCCCAGCCTCGTCCCTACGGCCCCGCCCCCACCCCTCCCCCAGCCGGCCCCCTCCCCCAGCTGGCCCCCTCCCCCCACCCCTCCCCTCACTTCCAAGGCCCCCCCACTCCACTCCCTCAGCTTCCACCTCTTTCCTGCGCACCACCCCCCACTTACCAACCCTCCCCCTCCCGCTCGCTCTCCCCTCCCCCTCCCCCACCGCGCCCCCCTTTTATCTTCTCCCCACAACAATCCCTCCCGCCCTCCCTTCACCGGCCCCCAGCACCCCGCACTCCAAAGCTCCAACCACCTCCCCCCAATCCCGCCCTCAGAGTCCCCTCACTCACCTCACTCTCTCCGGCGCGGCCCCCCCAAGCCCCCCTGACCTCCGCGCACATGCGCACAAAGCTCACCGGGACTCCATGCCCCGGCAGGCTTTGCGCCAAACTCTTCCGTCCTGCCCTCCCCCCCCACCACTCCCGGGGACCTAGTGGTCCGCGACGCCTGACGCACCGCCCCCAGCCCCACGGGCCTCGCCGGCACTACGTTTCCCAGGGGGCCGCGCGGCCAGCGAGGCTTCCCATTGGCTCCCTCCTTGGTGACCCGCTCACGTCTGTCCCCCCCCGCCCCCCCGAACGGCCCCGCCAGCGCTAGAAATACACTTCCCAAGATGCACCGAGAGCTACGCCAATATGGCGTCGCCTGGCGCGCCAGGCTGCGGACTACATTTCCCAGAAGGCAGTCGGGGCCTCCCATTGGGTCGCGCGCCGAAGCCGAGCGTGCGCAGACGTGCGGACGGGGGGGGGGGGTGACCCGAGGAGTGCCGAGGGAGGGAGGAGGCGGAGCCGTGGTGGCGTCGTCGTGGAGACGGAGGAGACCGGACGCTGCCGGGCACTTGGGAAATGGGGCCCTTGGGTCGAGGAACCGGCGGACCAAGAAGGAGGAGGGGCCCGGACCGAAGCTCAGCGCCAATCCCGGCGTGCTCCGTGCGTCTCCTTGACAACGGGTGGCCTCTCACCCCTCCCCCACCGGGCGGACCTCAGAAGGTCCCGGTCCTTGCGGGTCCGGACGTGACCCTGACGCCCTGGCTGGGCTCTGTCTGCGCGAACCTGATCCACAGCCTCAGTTTCCCCTCCGCGAATCCGGGAGGGGCCCTCCTGCCACGCGTCCGGACGTGCCCCCGTGGGACATGGCGACTGCCTCAGTTTCCCCATCTCAGAAATGGGGAGAAGAGTTGGTTTTCAGAGCGGGAAGAGAGCTGCGAGACGGGTTGGACTGTTGTACCCCGCGAGTCACACAGGGCCGCCCCAAGAAGTCGAATGAAGTGTTGTAACGTACCCCGTGAATCACAGAAGGACGCCTCAAGAAGTCGAATTAAAGAGTCACATTTATTGCAAATCCGGGACTACGAGGGGGCATTTCCCCCTCCCAAATCTCGCAGTGCCCTCTGTTATGGGTTGGCTCAGCGAGATAGACCACCGACTCAGAATTTAAATTTAAGAGCCTTTATTCAGCTGGCCAGCTGACCACAGCGCCTATCTCCCCCTCTGGGAGCTTTGGAGCATGTCGGGACAGAGATGAAGGGTGCAGTATGATCCTTTATAGCAAAACAGTGTTAGAAAAAAAATACAAAGCATTTCATTAGCTGTTCCTTAGAAGTTCACAGAAAGTTCATAAGCACAAAGGGGAGGTAAACGGAGTCACACCTGGCTGGAGCATATCATAACAGATTGTTTTTCTAAGACAATCTAGCAATTTTTCTCTGTCACAGTTCCTGACCCTAATACAATCGGTAACCTTTTCCAGGCTGCAATCCCTCCCCCCTCCCACATTCCTTAACCCTTCCATGCCACAGTCCCTCACCTAGCACCCCCCTCCCACATTCCTTAACCCTCCATGCCACAGTCCCTCACCTAGCACAGTCCCTCACCTAGCACAGCCCCAACATCAGATTTTTATAGGCAAAGATCACAAAGGTATTGATTACATCCCAGGGTTTAGAATGAGGACCCTGGTTTGCACAAAGCAGTTTACAGAAGCAGACTTGAGCATATTAGTTATAGTTTTGGGTCTCCGATCACTGAATCAATGGAAACACATTATCTGGAGCCATCGGGTCTTGAGACCACTGAGTTGACAGGAACACATTATCTAGAGCCATCGAGGCAATTTAGGATAATTGCGCTGTCCTGGTCTCAGGTGCAGAAGAATGTGCTTCGATAACCAGTATGACCACAACCAATGGCGTATTCACATTACAATCAATAGGGTATTCAATCGATTGGGATGATTTATATAATTCAGAAAATCAAAATAACTTTCCTATTGTTAAAGCAAATAAGTACAGAAGCCAAACAGCAGGGTTAAAGTTAAACTATAGTTTCTACCTGAGATGATTGCTACCATACTTCAGAAGGAGCCATATTTATTTCAAAGCCGGGACTAGGAGGGGGCAGTTGCTCTCCAAATGTCGCAGTGCCCCCTTGGCCGAAACATCAGACCGATATAGGCAAATAGCACAAAGGCATTGATTACCTCTCGGGGTTTGGAATGAGGAACCTGGTTTGCAAAAGGCAGTTTGTTACAGAAGCTTAGATTGAGCAAGTTAGTTGTCTTACAAAGATTAATTATAGTTTTGGGTGTTGAGACCACTGAGTCAGCGGAAACATGTTATCTGGAGCCATCGGGTCTTGGAACTATTGTAATGTACCCCTCAAGTAAATGCTCAGGATGCAAGACCAGAGATGAATGAGTCATTTAATTAATAAGCCGGCGACCGAGAGGGAGTTATGGCTCCAAATCTCCCAGTCCCGAAATGGTGGCAGCAGCCGGCTTATATAGGCAAAGATTACAAACGTATCGATGACATCTTTGGGTTTGGAATGAGGAACCTGTTTTGCACAAAGCAGTTACAGAAGCGGAACTGAGCGAGTTAGTTAAATTATAGTTTTGGGTCTCCGGATCACTGAATCAACGGAAACACATTATCTGGAGCCACGGAGGCCATTTAGAATAATTGTGCTGTCCTGGACTTGGGACCACTGAGTCAACCAGAACGCATTATCCATGGCCACTGAGGCAATTTAGGCTAATTGTGCTGTCCTGGTTCCCAGGTACAGAAGAATGTGCTTCGATGACCAGTAAGATCACAATCCATGGGATATTCAAACCACCAACGACAGAGCATTCAGTCGATTGGGATAGCATACATAAGTTCCGAAAATCAAAGTAACTTTTCTATTGTTAAACAAAGCAAATAAGTACAGAAGCCAAACAGCATTGTTAGAGTTAAACGGCAGTTTCTACCTGAGATGATTGCTACCATACTTCGGGGACCACTGAGTCCACGGAAACACATTATCTGGAGCCATCGGGTCCTGGGACCACTGAGTCAACAAAAACACGTTATCTGGAGCCGCTGGGCCATTTAGAGTAATTGTGCTGTCCTGGTCTCCTAGAGTAATTGTGCTGTCCTGATCTCCAGGTGCAGAGGAACGTGTTTCAAAAGACCAGTAAGATCACAATCGATGGGGGTATTCAGACCACAATCAATGGAGTATTCAATCGAATGGGATAACGTATATAAGTTCAGAAAATCAAAATAACTTTTCTATTTTTTTTTAAATACATTCTATTGATTTTTTACAGAGAGGAAGGGAGAGAGATAGAGAGTTAGAAACATTGATGAGAGAGAAACATCGATCAGCTGCCTCCTGCACATCCCCCACCGGGGATGTGCCCGCAACCCAGGCACACGCCCTTGACCGGAATCGAATCCGGGACCCTTCAGTCCGCAGGCCGACGCTCTATCCACTGAGCCAAACCGGCTCCGGCCAAAATAACTTTTCTATTATTTTAGCAAGCAGATAATTACAGAAGCCACATCAGCAGGGTTAAAATATTAAAAGCAATTCCCACCCAAGCATGGCTGCCACCTTGCTTCCAAGGGAGAGGGAGAGAGAGATGGGAGCATCAATGATGAGAGAGAATCTTTGATCGGCTGCCTCCTGCACGCCCCACACTGGGGATCGAGCCTGCAACCTGGGCATGTGCCCCGACCAAGGATGGAACTGTGACCTCCTGGTTCATAGGTCAACGCTCAACCACTGAGCCATGCCAGCCAGGCCATCCTGAAATTCTTTTTTTCTTCATATGTTTTTATTGATTTTTTTTTTTTTAGAGATAGGGAGGGAGAGGGATAGAGAAATAGAAACATCCCTACCAGGGATTGAGCCTGCAACCTGGGCATATGCCGTGACCGGGAATGGAACTGATGACCTCTTGGTTCATGGGTCCATGTTCAACGGCTGAGCTCCACAGCAGGCCGGGCCATCCTGAGATTCTTAACACTCTTTTAAAAACATGGGGGCTGTGCACTTTTTCACTCTGCCCTGGGCCCCGCACATGGCACAGCCGTTCCCTGACATCACCTCGACTGCCCGTGTGTGCGGTATTTACACACCAACACGGTCTCCCAGCATCCAGTGCACCATCAACACCGGTGAGCAGTGGAATGAAGGGCTGACTCCCTGGATGCCCTCCCTCCTCGTCTCCACCAGCAAACACCGCACATCCCCCACAGTGCAAACACCACCTCCTCCATGAAGCCTTCCCAGACCACTCCCACCCCAATAAACCTGGACGAGGCGCCTCATCAGAGCTTCCCCGGTGCCCCTTCTCTGTCCATCTCCTGCCTGGACTGTTTATTTCGTGTGTCTCTTCCCCCTTCGCCTCCATCCTCCCCATCCTCCCGTCAACAACTCAACAACAGAGACCCAGGCCTTGCCAGCTCCCAGGAGAGGTGGGGAGGAGGGCTGCGGAGTAAATAAGGACTAAGGGAAGGTGGCTCTCACCCCGCTTCCCAGGCCGGAGGGCGAGGGTTCCTTTGGCAGCTCATGCCCTACCTGAGCCAGCCAGTGCCTCCGCAGCCCGCTGTAATTATTACCCAAAATAATAATTAACCTTCCGCTCTGTGTGGGGCTGCGGGGCGGGGCGGGGGCCTGGGTCGTCTCTGGGTCTCCAGCCCAGGCACCTGGAGGCTCCGGAATGTTCATTGGAAGAACAGATGATGGATGAGCAGGTGAATGAAATGCATGGGGGGTGTGGGGAGTGTGGGTCGGCAGCCCACAGGGAGGGCTGGGGGAGGGGGCTGGCTTTGAGCCTGAGTCATCTTCTCTGGGCCTCAGGAAACACTTAAGAATAAATAATTAAATTGCAAATGAATTGCTTAATGATGGGCTGCCGCAGATCAAAGCCTCAGTCAGCCCGTTTGCAGCGGGAGGAGAGGCTCAGAGAGGAGAGTTCAGCGAGTTTGGCGCACCTGCCCCCCGCCCCCCCTTCCCCCGGGTGACACAGCCAGAGCGGCCCAGACGGCCAGGCCCAGGCCCAGGTTTGGTGGCCACCGGCAGCTGTGGGGCCTGGTCTGGCTCCGGGGGACCCTGGGCCTCCCCCCGCCTCCCCCCCTCTGGCTGGGTACCCTGGTCCCTGGACACAGGGACCCTGAGCAGGGCCCACGGCCGGAAGGAGCCAGAC